TAGATGAGGACACAAGCAAAGGAATCGTTATTCCCAGCTTTGTTGGAGAAGTATGAGACGCCAAACATCCATACACTGAACGTGTCTTGCACCCAGATGCACACATGTTCTACACAGGTAGAAGAAGAACCTGATTGGTAGCAGCCATCATGACACAGTTGTCATTGAAGGCTGGACTCAAGGATGGAAGGACAAAGCGGAGATGCAGCCTTTGCCGAGTGAACAGTTACATCTCAGGATACCTTCCGTCCGAAGAAAATGAAGAACCCAGCGATATGGAACGCAAGAGTATCCTAGAGTCACACCTGTTCCTAAAGTTGAAAAGGAACGGGAAGATCAAAGGCCGAGCGGTTGCAGAGGCAACAAACAGCGTGACTTCATCTCCAAGGAAGACGCAAGCTCGCCAACAGTGTCGACAGAAGCAGTCTACTATCCTCGCATAATCGACGCTAAGAGGAAAGGGATGTGGCGAGTAATTGACATCCCAGAAGCCTTCATCCAGACAAGATCGAGGATGAAAAAGAATGTGTAATCATTAGAGTAAGAGAGTACTAGTAGACATGCTTGTGAAATAGCCCCAGATTTCTACAAACCGTTCGTAACAACGGATAAGAAAGCAACAAACAGTTGCTACTGCAATGCTTGAATGCCATCTACGGCACTATGGTAGCTAGCCTACTTACTACCGTAAGTTCCGGAGACGATGGTCCGGAACGGATTTAGATTAATCCTTACGACCCCTGTGTAGCCAACAGAATGGTGCACGGCAAGCAACAAACAGTCTGCTGGCATGTGACGACTGTAAGCTTAGCCACAAGACTCGAAGGTTAAGACCAGCTGACCAAGTGCTTCGTGATGAATACGAAAGCATATTCGAGGACGGCACTGGAGAGAGATGACGGTGAGCCGAGGAAAGGTCCACACGTATTTGGCATGACCATAGATTCACGACGAAGGGTCAATCAAGTATCAATGTACAATACGTTGATGAAATCCTGAAGCCTTCGAGAAGGCATGCCAGAGGAAGGGGGCACGAAAAATAGAAGTAGTGCAGCCCGAAAGACCTATTCTAGTAGACGAATCCTGCAAAAGCTCCCAACGAGCAAGCAGACACCTTTCACAGCCTGGTGGCCAAAGTGTTATTCGCTACGAAGAGAGCCGACCAGACACAGGTACGGCGATATCGTTCCTTACGCTAGAGTCAAGGAACCAGGTAGGCACGATTGGGATAACTAGTCCACCTCATGCAGACATTAGATGTACTAGAAAATACCATTAGTTCTCAAAGCGACGGAAGGCATATTGAAATGGTATAGTTGATGGTTCTTCGGAGTCCATCCAAACATGAGGGTCACACCGGAGGTGGTTTGACCAGGGCACCGGTTACCCATTATCGACTTCGACGAACAGAAGTTGAACACGAGAAGCTCAACTAGAGTGAACTCGTAGCAGTGATGACCTGATGCCATCATCCTTGGACGAGGCAGTTCCTCTGGAGCAAGGCTATGTAGTTAAAGAAACTATAGTCTATCAGGACACAAGATCCTACTTTAGAAAAACGGCAAAGCTTCTAGTAGTAAACGAACGAAGCACATCAACATTAGGTACTTCTTTGTGAGCGACAGAGTCGCAAAGAAGGAGATCAGTGTGGACTGGTGTCAGGGCACTCAGAAGGAGGGTCACGGTCGGACAAGAAGGTCCGTTCAAAGAAGGAGCGCTAAGCGGAGTAAGTAAGTAAGCATGGTCGACGACTATGACAAGCTCGACGACCACAGGAGTGTGTTGGGGATTCGCGATTAGGGATTCAACCTGTACCTCTGTACTAGAATTTGATGCCAGTAGAAAAAGCCAAGGAACCCACTTTTTCAGTAGTATCTCAATAGCAAGTAAACTAGAAGAGAGCTTAGAGCAACTAACAGAGGTGGTCGCGGATGGAGGACTTGACAAACTCATGCTGCTCATCCCACCTGGCATCGTCGGTGCAATCCCAACCTGAAGAATCGTTAGCCCCGACAATCTTTGCTTCGGGGTGTGATTGTAGTATGTCAATGAATTGTTCATATCATAGGAGTATGGCCATGACCAGGATCTCTCTGACTTTGGGGCTCCAGCGGTTGTTTACATCATCTTCGAATAGTAGGTTGGTGAATTGTTGAAGTTTCTCCAAGTCTCCTTCAATGTCGGCGAAGGTAGGAGGTTAACCACCGACAATTGTATGGCCAATCTTGGCTGTGCATCTACTCATTGCTTTGCCAGCTTGTTAGTACATGACAAATGAGCCACAGATATACTCGAACAAGGCGTCACAGCCGCGGAGCTCCCAACTAGTGCGGAAGATCTGCGCAAGTCCGGAGACCGAAGGAGAGTCAGCCATGACTTGGTTCGATCCTTTCTTGTTGCAGTGGGAGGATAGCTTATTCTTGATGCGGTCGCTCAGTGATTCAAAGGTGTTTCGTAGATCATCAAAGAGGCTAGTCCAAAGGGAAGAGACTTTGTTGGCTGTCAGATTTGCATGACTTTGTTTTCAATGCTGGCTTGGAGAAGCTCGGGAAGATGTATTCATTCCCACAAGTAACCAACCATTACGATGAGATAAACAAGGCTGAAATAGAAGTCTTCCAACAAGACTCCGTCGCAGTGCGGGTAGATTGGAAGGGTTTGGAAGGGTCCATCATTTTGTCTCTGGACATCGGCAGTAAGGACATGGTAATTGTAGACATCCTCGTTGATTTCAACCACTGTTGTTCCCTCCGCTGTGATAAGGGAGACTTCACTGCCATGTCCACTGCAATGGTAGCTTGTATTCAAGATGTGCCAGAACTCAGCTGAGTCTGCAGTGCCAAACCAGATGCACCCGGTAGCCATTGCTTCGCGGTCATCACGGGTGGATGAGATCTTCCCTTCTGTCATTCGCTTCCCTGATGTTCGATTGCCTTCGCGGTACATTCCTCGGAGAATGGCTCGTAGTTTCTTCCAGAGCTCAGGTTGGAAGACAGAAATAGGAGCTTCATTCCTGAATTTGTTGAAAAAAAATCTTGATCGACGAGCAGTATTGTGTTGCCGATTGGTAGGAGAGGTGCCTTCCTTCCGGATTCAGATAACACATAGCTGAGCTGCCCATGTAGGTGAAGAAGGCACCAATCATTTTGTCCCTGAACTCAGATGTTGCCTTTTTGGATGACTTGTGGGGAATGCCATTGTCGGAAATTGCATCTGCTTCAACTGCGTCAATCTTGATCTGGGCACAGTATGTCTGGAGGAAGCAGTTGAAATGGGCTAGAGCTTGCTTTTGCTTGTCGGCGGACGACGCGAGGGGATCATCACGGGCGTCGATGAAGGTAATTTCTCCTGACATAGTAAGTTAGTGCTTATGATGGCGGGGTCGATGTGCCTTGGATTGTTTTGATGAGACGAGACGAGTTCATCTCGTTGCTGTCCGTGTCATTAGTTACATAGTCGCAGGTGTCTGTCATGGACAAGTCAGCGGGATCCACGTTAGGTTGGCGTGCGTCGTGGGGACTAGCTGGGAACTAACGAAATCGATAAATGACTAGCAAAAAAACTATAGTACTGTACATGTACTCAGTAAGATCTTTGATCCATTTTCAATTACCATACTACTCAATAATATAGCTATAATAGTATAGTAGCTAGTAATTACTGCTTACACTCCAAACCTGAAGGTAAGAAACTCTAAATAAGAAAGTGAGTACTCAGATTTTAGAAAAAGCAAAAAATCGAATCTTTTGATACTGGAATATCACAGACTTGTAAGAAAAATTCTCAGTATTGAGACCTCAAAGCACGAGGAATATTTCTAGTCTGACACCATGAAAATGCTCCTATGTTGTGCCTCAATCTGCAAAATTTCTGCCTCACGGCAGAGACAGTGGTCATTATTCAAACTTGATCTAAATCAATTAAGAGTCCTGAGTAAGTTGGACCCAAAGGGGCAGGGGTACTGGGTATATCCAAACACTACCCTGTTTGATCTATAAGCTTAGTAAGAAAGTCTTCTATAGTGAAATTGACTTCTTTTGTTCGAAATAAAATGATTAGCAAAAATAGAGCAGTTGGTTAAAAAGAAAGCTCCAGAACTGACTCCCAGTTAGAGCTTTCTTATTATTGAGTTTGGAGTGTACATGCCGGCTTCAGACTCCAGGTGTTTCTTGGAACAAACAAATTCTTCGTTTACGCCTGAGTGACTGACTTATGGGGAGAGCCCAGAACAGATTGAACCTATCTAATTCTCCTCTTTGAGGGGTTAAAGTCCCAGAATAAATTCTTTAATTCCACTTGTACCGGTACAAGGTACCGGTACCTTGTGAGCTTAGTGATGCCATGGACCGCGCAAAGAGGGCATACATGTGAGGGAGAAGCAAATGGCAAAGTTCAACTTGACCAAACAAAGCATTGAATTTAATTTTCGGGACCGGCACGGCGGTACCGTACTATTAATAGTAGGTTCCGACGTTCCGACAGCATAGGCGAGAGTGACTTTTGAGAGTGCTCTCGAGTCAGAGTCTTTTTGGTACAGTCGTAGTTATTGATCTAATTGCCCTCTCTCTCGAGATCTCTAGAGAACACGGTTAGAAATAAATAAATGTTACGAGCGGACTTAGTCGCTTATTCTAAGTAGATGTCTTTGTAAGCAAGCTGTCCAATCATTGTTCATGTGACGAGACCGTATGATTTAGCATTCACAGTTTCATTACAAATTCGTGGCTGGAAAAAGAAAAAGAAATCATGAGCGTCTCATTTTTTGCGCAATCTACATTCCACGACCTGCCTCCTAGCTCCTAGCTACGCTGTAGCAGCTCTCCTAGCTAGCCTCCTACGACCCTACGACCTTACGCCCCAACTACTACAGAGTGGTATCTAACCGTGCTACATGCATGATTATGAATACCAGTAATGCTGCATCTGCTCACGTTGATTGCATTGACAACCGCTGACCTTTCAAAGTTCTCACAATTCCTTTTTTATCTTTGAAGCAAATCATGGCCAACCCCATCAACGAATCTGCCGCCGAGTCCTTATGCTGCACCATGAGAGGCCTCTCCTTTGTGATTGTGCAAGACAATGCCCGTACACCATCGTCAATGTGCCTGAAGCGGGCCAGAGGAGCCCGATGGCAAAGCGTTGTCAAGGTGGACACGAACTGCCAGACGGCTTTGCCCAGTATGCCGCGACGATGCAAGACGCCGCCGTCGGAGTCCTTGTATCAGTTGGTTTCGGATGCCACTGCCGGCAATACAACTACTACGACAAGCCCCAATACTCGCAGTCGCTCCCCCAAGGCAGCTGCCGTCCTGGCAAAGGGACAGGCTCCGTCGTTGCCTCGCGTACCCCGACGCAAGACCTCCGGTACCAAGACACAACCAGTGGCAAGCCCTACCACCAGTCCAACCAATACCAATAAAGCAGCCACGTCGGACAGTCTCGAGAAGCTCTACTCCAGTTGCAGTGCCATGTCCTGGACTCCTCCGAAAAAACAGCCAACCTTTCCACACAACCAAACACGCAGTCCGTCGTCTTCCAGCCTCCTTCACAACGACGGGAATGACACCATCAGTGATAGTAACCCCAAGAACACCGCTACAGCACCAGAGCGACCACGGGCAAAGAGGGCATCTTTGTTGCTCGTAAACAGCCCAGTTTGTGCAAACTGATGGCTGGCTGGATGGCTGTTTTTCCAGTGCGAGGACAAGACGGTACCCATGTCCCTGCTGCTGCCCACTAATACCGTATCATCGGGAGTGGTACTGCTGACGATTGAGCGGACCACCTTCCCAACACCCAAGAAGGAGTGAGGACACTTGGAGTCCTCCTCCCCTCCTCAGATTCATAACCCCTCTGATTTCGTGAAGTTTCATAACATACATCGAGTCCTAGAGAAAGTTTTTTCACTTTGAAACAGTGGTTACAGTAGTGGTTACAAGCTGTAGTATTAGTCTAGCTGCATCTTAAGTTTAGCTACCAAGCTAGATACTTGATGTACGGTACCGACTGATAGACACAATGAAAAAGAAGACTACTGTCATCACAGCAGCAGTGCAAAGTTCTGGCTGGTGTTGGTGGATGGGATAGTTGGTGAAAGGGGTCTTTCCTACTGCTTTTCTCAAACGCTTCTTGGCAACTTGCACTAGCTGGAGTTCCACATGCCCAGGACAACATTGCACGAACAACACACGGCAAAAGACTTCCGATCTGATGTAGACGGTACCGGTACCGGTGCAGACACCCCACTTTCGAACCGCGGATGCCAATGAAGGCACAGCTCTCTGTCGCCCACGCAGAAGAGTGCCCAAACAGCTGTGCTGTCTGATTCGATTCTGACGTTTTTGAGTTTTGTTGTGGTGATTGTCAACAACCAATGGACGGTATCGATACTGTGACCCCTTGATGGTAGTCTAGCTAGATGGAGCTGTAACTTTCACCATGAAGCTCTGCGACGTCTATTTGACCCTCTTGGTGGTGTTCACTGCAGTGGGAGCCACTGATGGATTTTCCCCGCTGCCAACAAGCCGTCAATCGAACCTTCCTGTTGTTCCCGTCGTGCAGCCCCCGCCATGTTTTCGCCTGTTTGGAATTTTGGACGAAATCAATAATGGTGGCGCAAGTTCCTCTTCAGAAGACGACGAGCAGTTCGATTCGCTCTTTAATGATCTCATCTTTTGTACGGGTGACACCAAAGCGGTTATCGCGGATCGATTAGAATCCTGCAGCGATCCAGATTTCTTGCAGTGGCTGGAATGGAATATGGAAGAATCCGAGGACGACGAAGAAGCACAGGCATTGCAAGATTTGCTCGAGATGATCGACCAAGTGGCAACCGAAACCCAAGCTAACAACAACAATCAGCAGGCAGAACAGGAACGTCGTCAAGAAGAGCAAGCCAAGAAACAGCAAGAGATGGAATCACAACAAGCATCCGATACAACTGACAACGATACCGGCAGTGCTAGTGCTACTAGTAGTATGTCGGCTGCAGACTTGTTGAAGAAAGCCAATGCCATTGATCAAGCCGTCATGATTGCCGAGGCATCCGATGACGAAAAACCGAATGATTTTATGCGGGACGCCAAGGCAGAACGCGGCCTTGGAGGATTCAATAATAAAGGACGAATGAGAGTGGGGGGTGGCTAGTTGATGCGTTACCGAAAAATGTTGGGCTGCAGTACGTACAGCCATTGATTGCAGTCCTCAGTCAGTCGATAAAATTTTACCAAAAGCAAGCAAAATGGCCTGGTTGCGAAGAGATGTTCTGCAAACATTCCTTCGTGTCACTTCGGAATCGAATCAGCACATTTGGGTTTTGCCGTTGGGACTCGATTCACTTTCACTCTATCTGTATTTTAAATAGCTGAAACCAGGATCATTGTCTTTGGAAATTATTTGTCATAATTGAGCAGTCATTTCGTGCTCCTTCCCCAACACATCGTTTATTGTTTTGGCAATCAGAGGACACCATGATGCCAATCCATCTCTGGAAGGATGGAGCCCATCGGTCATGGTCTTTGCGCTGACCTTGTCGGGAGAATCAGGGTCCAAGAAAACACCGGAAGCCTCCATGTACCGACATTGCTGCTCTGGATCTTGATGGCATTCCTCTCGCAAACGTTGATTGATCCATTGTATCTGTTTCCAATACTCGCCCGTCTTGTAATCGTTGTCAGCCATGTTTTCCTTCATGGAAATATCACTTCTGGGCAGTAATCCGTGAAGAATAAATTTCGCCGAAAGCCTCTTGGATTTCAAGTAATTGAATACATTCAGAATGCCCTGCAGAGTGGCATTGGCGCTGCAATTCAGTCGTCCCAGATCATTGGTACCAATCAAAATCATCCAGACTTGTGGCTGCAACGAATCCGGCAACATGCCATTTTGCAAGTGCCAGAGAAGATTGGTGGACGTATCCCCCGAACAACCTAGAGCCAACCCGCTCGGAAAGTGCTCCTCAAAGACTAATTGATTATCCGGCAACCGGACGGTCCCCATGTGCCGGGTTCCATTCAGTCGCTCCGTGATGGAATCTCCCACAAAGACAACATCTGGTGGTACGTTGGACGCCAGTTGTACCATACGCTTGTGTTGATCCATCCACAGCGGATCGTCGGGCCATGCCAAGGGGGCCAGTGGATCTTGACAGTTCTTCTCGGAAGTGGTACTGCCATCGCCGTTCGATAGAGCATTCATGGCGACCGTGAAAACTGTAGCAACAGTGACGAGTAGAAAAAACAAAACAGTTAACTTCGATCCATGAAGGCTCATCTTCATTCTTAATCAACAGAAGGAGAGAATGCACACCACTGTCGTTACACTGCATCTATTGACAATTGACATTCCCAGACCGCATGGAGGGGTTACATGTAGTACTAGCTAGTAGTAGATATATATATAGATTATAGATGACTAAATTTAAAAAATCGAGACCACTTTTTGGCCCCAGCCCAAATTTTAGCCCAGTACATCCATGATTATTTTGAGCTGGCCGGCCTTAATAACAGCTATTATTTTGACCGGCAGACTTAGAGGTCCATTCAAAGACTTAGAGCATTGGATCTCACACTTCCCCAGCCAGCTCGTGCTGAGCATGCATGCCAACAGGTAAGCTTTGGACCCTGGCCAAAAAGTCGAAACCAATCAACCACAGTCACAATTTCACGATGAGTCCACAACGCCGGAGCAGAAGGCAACAACAACAGGAACCGTCACCACATGCCGCTGCTGCTACTGGCACCACTACCCTGAATGGCAATGGCAATGGCAATGGCTTCCAGGTGTCAACGGAGGCGCTACAAGGTCTCGCGGCGCTGTTCAATGCACAGACAGTGCAGCCGGCAACAGCCACAGGTGGCATCATCAGAAATCCCAATGAAACACAAGCCACTGCTCGCATTGTTGATTTCGTCAACAATGAGCGACAGAAGCGGCGGAGGACCAACACGAAGAAGGCCTACAACCCTAAGATAAAGGAGTTTGAAAGCTTCTGCGAGCAGAACTACAAGAATGGCTTTGCGCACAATATTAACTATGACAAAGTGATGAAATTCATGGCCTATCAAGCATTCAGAAACCAGAAAGGACGAGGAGGGGAGAAGAAATCTGCAGAGACCCCCGCCTTTGATCAGGAAGACTACAAGCAAGCCTGCAAGTGCTTCTTTGAGGACAACAATGGGTTGGAGCACCCAACACTGGAGTTCCCCACTCCAGAGAATCCGATCGGCCCACAGCAATTCAACTCGTTCAAAGCTGTGATCAAGAACATCCACAAAGACCAAGTCGCTCGTGGCTTCTGCAATGTCGCATGGGAGATGATCTGGAACCAGGACCTCATGAACCTGAAGAAACATGTTGACGAGAGGATACCAGCAGTCAAAAAAGCCCGATACGATGAAAAGATTGATGGTTCCTTTTCACCGTATCAAGTGGTGCAGAGGTTTCCTGACATCGAGCAAGAGTTTTGGGAAGACAGTGGGAAGAATAGTAGCAGGCGATCCATCTGCTGTGGCCTCAGACACAGATGTTGCCTGCTCTATTTAACGTGTGGAGTCCTGAGGTCGGAATCGCTCCACAAGGCAGATGTCTCGGATTTCTTTGGCTTATGCCCTCCCAAAAAGAAAGACGTTGATGTACACGCCATGTTCCTTTTGATTATGCAAATTGCTGAAGGTAAAACAACCAATCTGAAGAAGCAGTATGGTCGAGCGACGCGTCACCGAGATGCAAGGCTTTGTGCAATTGGCAGTATCGTATTCTATCTTCAGTACCGAGTGTATCTTACAGGGGAGTTTGCGAACATGACAGTGGAGAACTGGATGGATAACGCTGCATGGTTTGACATCAAGTTTCTTGTTGATTCGCACGGCAAGAACAACACCACCGAAATGGCAAGCGATTCTTACGGTGACCACATCAAGCTGGTGCTGAAGCGACTTGGCTTGCCCACATGCAAGCAACTGCATCTTGGTCGGAACCTCGGCACCAAGCTCCTGGACTTTGCCGAGGTGAACGCAGAGGAGGTTCGTCAGATGGGGCAATGGAACATGTCCGTCTATGACAACAGCTACAGTTCGAAGCTACCCATGAATGCAATGCGACAATTAGCTGGCTACAATTCCAAGAGTGGCATCTACTACAACGTTCGAACAGCTGTTTTACCATCAAGAGAACTTCAGGAAAAGTGCCCTTTTGGTTTCGCGTATGGTATGCTGGAGCAGCTCACAGAAGCCGATCCCGATATGAAGCACACCACCGCCTTCGAGTGCCTGCGACTGTTTGCAGATTTCAACAATATTCTATTACAGGATGCAGCGGCAACAATGATCCAGCACCCTGAGCGAGCAGATCATTCGATGTTCCAGACACTGCCAGTATTTTCTAGTGATGAATTTAAGGTGAGTCGCCAACCTGCATGGTTTTATATTTTAAGAATGAACAACTACTAACACCCTTTTTTCTGTGCATGGCAGCAATATAAAGAAGCAATGTCAAAAGCACTCGCAACGTCTTCTAGTCCTCTTGATGCCAGTCTTGAAAAGGTACTCCCAGGCGTTCATTCCAGACTAGTTGCCTCGCACAATGCCACCATGCTGTTGGGACAGACGCTTGGAGCCAAGGTCGACCAGCTTAGCCAGATCGTGGTGGACGGATTAGCGCATCTACAGCACACGACGCAGGCAACAAGAGAGGAAACCGAGAAGGCTGTTGGCTTTGCACTGGTTCAAACCGGTAGGCAGCTTTTGGGAGAGGAAGAAACAGCTGGTGGCCAATTCGAAGAAACAAGCCCAACAGCAGCCTCTGTTGATGATACTGACTTGGACTTAGAAGACGTGATTGAAGAAGTTTTGGCCACTGGCCAAGGCAATGTCGCAGTTGAAGCAACACCTCCACGACCACCTATGCCCTTTGGTGGAACGGTCCCTCGTGTTGTAGGCACCCACAACAGCACACCCGAAGACCATCGTGACTATGCTCTAACACTTAAGCATTCTTGCTTGCAAGATGTACACGATGAATGGTTTGGAAGCGGAAAGTTTGCAGATGACGCGTTTGGGGGCATTGATGGAAGAAACCGGCTGCATGGAGCTAAGTGGCGAAAGCACCTGGACAACGGCTTGTTCTCCTACAACAAACGTCTTGTTGAGGGAGTGATGTACCAGAGCAAGCTTCGAAAGTGCCAGCCAGACGAGGTCATTCGGGAATGGGAAGTTCTTTTCGAGAAGCAATCTTTCTCTGTGGGCAACATGGTTAAGTACTTGCAGAGTCAGTCGCTTCTCAAAGTGGGCAAGCCTCGTGGTGCTTCTCTAGCAAAGTTGAAAGCAAAGGAAAAAGCCCAACAGCAACAAGCCAATACATCGCAATAACACACCGTGTTCTACTTTAAAGTTTCTTTCTTTTCAAATGTTCCAGCTCATCCACCTTTTCCTGTAGTCGTCCCATTGTGATGTTCATCGATCGCATGGTTTCCACTAGTTCATCAATCTCTTGTTGCTGCCGATCGATCTCTTGCTTTTGCCTTCTGATTTCCTCCTCTTGTCGCCTTTTTTCTGCATGGGTAGCAGCCGGACGGATGGAACTGTAATAAATCGATTTAGTAGCACCCTGGATTTCGACATCGCACATCACTTTCTTGGCACCGATGGCTCTAAGGAAGATACCCTCCTTTCCTGCATAGGTGCCTGCCACTACTTTCACTTGTTCGCGATGCTCGTAATCCTTCTTCAATGGCATATTCCGACTTCGAGTTACTGGTGCTGTTGTTGTTGTTGTGGCATCTGTCTTATCAGTGCCGATTCGATACCCTCTTGTTGAGTCTGTTCAAGTCGGCGATAAGGATAAAGTCAACGGTTCAGCGAAGAATGCTTCGCAGGATTGATCATTTTTACTATGCTTTATTCAGTACGTCATTGTTCCAGTGGGCAATCTTTTTACCGATCACAGGTCACCTTTCGCGCCTAAACTGCCAAATCGCCATTGCCTCAACAAAGCATCTGCAATACACGGCTCTTAGCCTTATTCGCGACTCGATCCTAGATAGGGTCTGAGTTCGACTCATGACTGAGTCTCTCGTGAATAGTCATTGAGGAGACAGGGTTCTCAATGACCGCTCTAGTCATACTAGGTTTGATGATGAAACATCGCTTAGATATTTAGCCAGCGTGGAGTACTTCCACGCTACTAGATAAATGCTAGACGAATCTTCCACGCGTTCCGTTTTTGGATCGTGGAGTGAGTAGGGTTGCTACCGCAACCTACTCTATCCACTCTACAGTCTCCCGCGGAGTTCAGATCTACGTACCTTTGATTGTGGATCTCTCTCATTGATTAGTTTTCATAGTTTCTAATCTCTCATACTTTCATTTTCTCAAACTCAAAACACTCGAAAGATTCTTACACTAGCTTTTTAGCGTAGTGATTTTGTAAACAAACACAATAGCTTTCAGCTACCTCAACATTCCTCACCATGAAGATTGCCAAAGACGCTTCACCAGCTTCGAGTCTAAGCTGCGGACAAACCATCTTCCTCTCATCAACCTGACGATGAATGCGAATCGACGATTCTCGCTCTACCACTTACAAACTTCGCACTTTCCAGCAGATGCTAACCGCCAAGTACACCTTCAAGTCCAAATCATCAATGATCTGAGACCACGTCAAACCATCAAGTGGCTGGACGTATGGAGAAGGTCTTCGTGGCTCCCATTGCTACGCCTACGACAAACATAACTCCCAAGGAGATGACTTCTAGCTCTGCAAGGCATTATGAAAGCGTTACAGTTCCTCCCACGACTCAGAGATCCGTGAGTAGATTGAGTCATGTTTATGAGTCAACACGAGGAACAGAGAACGCTGGCAAGAACACTTCTCAACAAACCAAAGGGCACGGTAAATTGGAGTATTCGACAGGAGTAAGCATCCTGCCAACGAACCGTTTCCCGCAGATACCACGTTACTTCCGTATCAACTACCACGATGTATTGATCCAACACGCTACAACTAGCTTTACTGATCGCATCATCAAAGCTCACAACACAGATTATGAATTACTAAGAAGCGAACTTTGCATTTACCTTGCACTCGTCTTGAATATTGCAGTTGATCTCGTCGGCGGTAGCTACCTCTACAAATCCCTCTATTCAAGTAGTATTTCCTCACGTTAGCAGATTAACAGTCGCAGTTACGCACTGCCACACCTTCATCAAGATGGCCGATGAAGCAGCCAAGCTCAAGCATGTCCTATGCCCCATGCGGCGAAGATGCTTCCACCACAGGTTACATTGCATCTCACATGCGCATCGCACTGTCTGAACAAGGAACGACGGATGGATGGATCTCCTACTTCCACAAAGATGAAGTTATGGATCTCCAAGCTTCCAACGACACCAACGGCAATGCAAACCAGTACTCTCTCTC